CCTAACTGTAGTAGGCCTACTTAATGTAAAAATATCAGCCAGATTGATGAGATCAGTTGAGTAAGGCTCTACTGAAATTGGTTTTGATTTACGCGTAATACCTTCTAAATGTCTCCTCCAACCCCTGTGATAAAATTAACTAGAAACTATCATAAAATAACTCCTAAATTAGCTAATCACGCTCTACAATCAGTTCTACATATGTTAACATCTCCTTAGTACCACAACTTCAGAGAAAGTTGATATTTCCAAGTATTGTGAAGAAAACCTAATCATTTGACGGTAATTCCGTCACGATACTTTTGACCAGCTGGAATGTTTATCAAAATAAACAATCCACTGGTTGGATAGGGCGCAAAAAGCTGCTTTTAGGGCGGTGCTTTTTAGAATGAAAAACCTAGTGTTCCTGACTAAAAATGAATTAAAAGCAATTTTCGTGATGGTATCACCTTTACAAATGTAAATAACTTTCTGAGAAAGTGACGAAATGTAGTCCTTTTTGTTATTATTGACTAGAGGATCGAAAGCATTGTTAGTTGATGCGAGAAGTTTTGAAAAAGATATATTTATTTATATAAAAATTCCTCAAATAAGAAACCATAATAAACATTGACTTTTCTCGCTGCTAAGACACATCTCTTTTGTAGCGCAGTTTTCTCTAAGAAATGTTATAACTATGTAAATAAAAAATATATTTCCATATGTTATCGACATCGCTCTACACGATAGTGATAGTGACTTCGAGTAATTGAGTAGTTCAACTTCGTCTACGAAGATGTACCGTTATGTGAATAGGCCGTTTTTTTAATAAAAGAATAATTTTTTATTACAAAAAAATGATTTTTTAGCAACAAAGAATTCCCTGAAAAAACATCATTTTTTTTTAAAAAAAGATAGGCTTTCTCCAAAAGAATGAATTTTTTGTTAAAATATGTTTTTTGGAAAAAGGTGACTTTATTCGAAAAAAATTTCTTGCAAAAAACGAACTCGAAATTCCGAAAAACTGATTACAAATTCAGATTCCTCGACCCCAATTATCTGTGGTCAAACTTTGTAAAAACTCGTAATTTTTAGGAAGCTGCCTTTTGGTCGATGAACTCGGATGTTTCCGTTAAAGTAAAGGGAACAGGTGTCGCGTTCCCGTTCCTATGAACGAAACGCAAAAGTGACACCCCTACCCATAAGGCATCGCACATGATGTGGGTGCCTCGAAAACACGGACACAAGCGATCACGCACATACTCTATAGTATTTCCTATGCCAATAGTTAATTGAGTTTCCGAGAAAATTCTGAATAAACATTTAATCAAGATCATCAAAAATTACAGAGGAAAAAGTTAACGAAGTTCATAATGTTTTTGAAAAATGAATCACAGTCAAGTGCTCGAGTTCTATGTCATGAACAAATTGCATATTGTACGGTTTCAATGAAAGATATTCAGTCACAATTCGGTATATTTTTATCTATGGAATGAAGCAGATCTTTACAACAGCTCGATCATATGATTGTGGTTCGTTTTTTACAAATATCAGAAGTTCCATTGGCTTTTACTTTTGTAATTTTTGACGATTTTTCCGGATGTTCTCGATCTTTCGTTGCACCAGTTTCGCAAAAGTATTGAAATGTAACTGTAATGCAATTTTCATTTGGTGTGTTCTTACCGAATTCGACTCGCATTTTTCGTTTCACAACTATACGTGACTCAAATTTGATCATTTATAAAACTATTTTTTATTCTAATACTAATAGACACGGATATTTATCTGACGAGAGAACCGTTTGAAGTGATCCACCACTTTTGGTCCCATATTTTGCCCATAAGTAGGGGCCTATAGGCTAGAAAAAGCCTAAGAGAATATGTGCTCATGTTGAGATGTGGCTAAGATATTCAAGTTTTACTCGAATTTTCCTGAAGCATTCAGGTTTTCCGGCAAAATCGTATTTCGAATTTTGACCTGAAATGTTGTCCACATAAAGCCCTCAAGCAGACTAGCTTGTGAAAAAAATTTCAGAATTTTTGGACACAATATCATCGAGATATGAATTTTTCAAAATACTCATGTATTTATACAATATCTATGGAAAAGCGTCTATATTTTGAAAAATTAATATCTCAGTGATATTATGTCCCAAACATTCTAAAATTTTGTTTGCAAGCTAGCCTAATTGAAGACTTTACGTGGGCAAGGTTTCAGATCAAAATTCGAAAATACGTTTTTGCTGGAAAACTTGGGTGCTCCAGAGAAATATGAGTAAAACTTGAATATCTCAGTTACATCGCAATATGGACCCATATCCTCTTAGACTTTTTCTAGTTTACGGATCCCCTTGTTAGAACAAAAGTTAACTTAGGATGAAGAACAAAATAGATGTTTGTTTGGTAATGTCGATAAAGATATTATAGCAATGTGTTAGTCAATATTGCTCATTTTTATTTGCAATGAAATGTACTTTCGCAATAGACTTAACTAGTATCCGTCTTTTTTCCCAAGTAATATTAACAATGGGCAGACACTAGCTGTCTTCAAAAGCATGATTGAAAGAATAAAAGTGAACATTCAGTGGCTACCATTAGATTGTAAATTGAATCACAATATAGAATCAAGTAAACACTTGTAATCAAAGTCTCTTTCTATTAGAAAAGGCATGTGAAAGTTAAAAATCAAATATTCAACATTTTAGTTCATCTATTCGAATATGGAAGTATGATAATACTCTATACTATATTTTCATTACCTTGCAATTGAAAATTGTTGACACAATCGATTTATTGATTTTTTATTATCATAATTACATTTTTCCTCATGCATAAGTTTCATAAAAAAAAGAATCTCTCCTAGGTGGTAAATATTTGATAACTTCAGTGTTCGTATGCATATAAAGTAATGCAAAAAAAAAGTTTAACAACAACGTATTTTTTTCTATAATGTTAAACAATTAACTCAAATCCAGATAGTAATTTTAACAGCCAAGAAACAGCATTTTTTAAAATTTCTGTTCATTTTTTTTAAATCAGAAAAGAAATGAAAAAACAAGCTTAATGCTGATGTATTATAGTGTAAGGAGTACTCTTTTTAATGGTGTATCGGAAGTTAAATTTACATTTAGTTTTTGTATCAAAAAAATAGTATTTTTTTATGAGATTGAATATTTCTATGATCTGAGATATTTCGAATAAATAATGCAAAAACAATTTCAGTTTATACATAATTTCTGGAGATAGTGGTTGATATTCTTGCGAATAGTACAAGACTAAATTTTTCAAACATATTTAATTACAAAATCAAAGAAAGATCTAACGAATTTTGGAAAAGCTAATATTGATAGAGATTTTGATGCTGTTTCAATTTGATCCATTCACGTAACTCAAAATAATTCAGACATAAAGACACTTTCAAGTTGAAAAAATATTGCAAGAATTCTTTAGAAGTGTATTATTTTCGGCCTTTTCTCCTCCATCAAGTTTGCTCTGAAAAAAATATGTCTGGTACAAACAGATATTGCTCTTTGGAATGGCATCGTTAAAGAGTAGCTACCTTTTTTTTTTTTAGAAACATTGGCATATGAAGTTTTGCTATAAAATATGTTATATAGAAAATTCCATTGGCTATTAAAATTACTATCTGGATTTGAACTAATTACTTAACATTATAGAAAAAAATATGTTGTTGTTAAAAAGTTTTTTCATCACTTTATATGATATGAAAAAAATTCTCTATTTTTATGTTATTAACTTTTCACTGTTAGTTTATTTGGCTTGATTGGTATACGTTTATGACACTGAAATATCATATTTTGTGTTTTTATACTTTCGATTGATATTCTTCTTGAATTTCTTTTCGCCATGTTATTGATTCTTGGTATTATAATGCAAATTTTCAAGATTAATAACATATTCACATTTATTCTTTGACAACATGATTAACACTTGAAAAACCTGCCTCAATTACAGCATTCAAGTGTCAGTAAAGCTTGCTGTGCATTGTTATCATACAAGAAAAAAGCACGTAGAGATATGATGCATTGATATCATATACGTTGCTTTCGAACGTGTTTTCTTGATTGCAAACATGGTTTTTTCTTTATTAGTAAAATTAATACAAAATTTTCTTAAATTAATAGATTACATTCTTCATATTCAACCAACAAAGTTATGTATCATACAGAAGTTTACCATTGCCGATTAAATTTTCATTGTTAAACACATTGATATCTTCAAGCATGAATAAGATATATATTGAGCAGTTAGAAGAATCAAAAATAGTTCAAATTGAACAAGAACTAGACCTCTACCCAGTCCAAGGCCGGTTAGAAAAGTTGGCTGACTGCAGAATCCGAAAAATATCGAAATATGATTCTAAACGACATCTACTATTACTAAATCTTAGGCTCATATAGAGAACATCATAATGAATTTCAATCGTCTTCAGCTATCTTAGTTCAGCTAAGTAGTGAGAGATAATAAATCTGAATCATAGATTTCCATATAAGGAAGCTCTCAGCTGTTCATTATCGTTGTTTGTATCTCATGTGTATAAACTATGCAGAGATCTTTCTAAATGTTTGAGACTCCTTCATGGATGAATTTAATTCATGTAAGACGATAACTAAAGTATATATGCACATAACATCTAAGATATCCATGCTCTTTTTAAGACTGAGTCATGTGTAAGCATATAAGAAAACTATCAGCTGTTAATTATCATTTTTGGCGTTATTTATATCTCCCGAACATCGCTGAATTTCGAAAAATGCATTTCAGATGTGCACTTATGACATTCTCACGATCTCGGCAAACTTTTTCTCAATTCGAAATGATGCTTAGTTGCAAAGAACGAGTGACTGATTTGAATCGTGACTCATGCCTCGAGCAGAAGAAGAAGAATTTTCCATGGCAACTAACCGAGTGAAAAGGAATGAGTCGTCTACTGCATTTTATGCAGTCAGCCGACTTGATTACTATAGATAAAAAAATAGGATACATATATTAACATTTTCAATGCAATGGAAAATTTATTTACGTAGAATTTTCTATGGAGGAATAGGTTTTTTTCTTATTTATTTTATTATCTTTCGTCGTCGTTCATTACGAATTTTTCTCACTGAATCAAATATTAGTGAATTAATAAATCAAACCTCTTTAAATAATACAAAACTTCATCGTATTCCTCGTATTATTCATCAAACATGGAAAACACATGATGTACCAATACATTGGAATGAAACTGTTCAATCCGTTCGTCAATATAATGCTAATCAATTTGAATATCGTTTATGGACAGATAATGATATGCATAGATTTGTTCGTCAAGAATATCCTAATTTATATGAAAATACATTTCTTAAATATTCACTTGAAATTCAACGTGTTGATGCATTTCGTTATTTTATTTTATATCATTTCGGTGGCATTTATATTGATATGGATAATGGATGTAGAAAATCATTTGATAGTTTAATAAATGTATTAGAAATACTTGATTCACAATCAAATCATCTTGCTGCTTTTCCTTGTACAAGTCCAATTGGTATTTCAAATGGTTTTATGATAACAACAAAAGGTCATCCATTATTTAAAATTCTTATATCACGTTTACCACTTTTTAATCATAATTATCTAATTGATTATCTTACAGTTATGTTTAGTGCAGGTCCATCATATCTCTCAATAAATGAATTTTATTTTGATCAATCTTTTTATCAATCAAAAGTACGTATTATTGATGAAAATGTCTATTCATCTATATATACATGGCATACACCGGGTAATTCATGGCATGGACGAGATGCTGAAATAATTCTACGTATATATCATACATGGCGAAATTCGTATCCAACAATTCTTTATCGTTTTCTATTAATTATTGGTATTATTATTATATTCTTATTATATGTATATTATTGTCGACGTAAAAAAAGAAGTTTCAATTTCATTTGTTATTATTGTAGGAAAACAAATCTCCATAGGAAATGATTTCGTTATTTTAAAATAAAATCAATTAGAATTTGAAATTATATTAACATTGATTTATCTAATGGAAAGTTTTCAAAACTATAATTTCTATTAGAGTCTTATGAAACTGAATTAATGAAAGGGAAAAGTTATATTCTAAAACTAATTTTTATATGTTAAATTACTATAGATATCCTGAAAAAATGAGCACTCTGTTCAGAGGAATTATCACTAAAAATCTAGCGTTTTAGGGACGTGACAGAGTACAAAAAAAATGCTCTTATAACTGAATAAGAATTTCGGACTTGATAGGATTGCTAGAAAATCGGTTTTTGGAGTCCTGTTATGCTGATCATTTTATCATACATGCGGTTCGTACCATAGAGTATATTCTCGGATTTTTTTTGTCGTATGGTTAATGAGATATTTACTAACTAACGAGTGAAACATAATGAATGGCTGCCTTTTGCATTTCATTTTGTTCAGCATTTAATTCGCTTTATTAAAAAGACAAAATATACTACAAGATACACCGTGAAAACCTCAACAATTTACATGAGATCGCTTATTTTATAGTTGTACTTTTTTGTTTTCAAAATAAACAAAATTTCGAGCGATGAGAAAATTTGCGGCACAGAATTTTGCGTTTTTTAAAAACAGTTACAAATAAATAAACTTTACTGTGTAAATTGTAGAACTTTTCACATTGCATCTTGGAGTATTTTTGTTTTTTTTTTGATAAAATGAATTAAATGCTGAAAAAATTAAATGTAAAATGCAGCCATTCATTATAACTCACCCTTTACTTTTTAATTGATAGTCAATTGAAAGAGCCAACATGTTTACATATGTCTATACTAAAAGAACTTATTCAGAAAAATAACTTTTGTAAAGAATCAAAGTCAAATGAAAAATGGACATGTCTCTTTTTGCTAGAACTAGTCCATATCGTGCGTGGATCTTATAGAGACCTTTATTAGTTATTTGAATTTGTGTTAGTTACCAAATATTACAAATGTAAGTCAATAAATCTTGTTATTCTAATTTTAAGCAGTATTATATCTCATTGTATATTTTTCTTTATACGGTAAGAAAAAATTCATGATTATAATTTATTTTCGGTAGAAAGACAAGCTTTTATATAATTTATGCCATATTTAGCACGTACTGGATCGATACCAATTGATTGTAAACAAACAATAGCACTGCCTTGTTCAGCAAGTTGTTTACTTTTTTCCCTAAAAAAAAATAATTTAATATCGAAATATTAAATTACAATAATTAAATTTTATATATACCAGGTTGTTGTTGAATAGTGTTGACCCTTGAAATCGATTACTGATCGAAAGATTCGTTGAGGTTTTAATTCTTCCTACATATATATATATATATCGAAAATGGTTAATTTTTTTAGTTACGTAAATATATAAAATAAATTTACAGTATGATAGACAGGTTTATCAATATGTGCTTGAATACAATATGCATTCAATATTGATTTTGGTGTCATTGTAGATGTATATTCCGATCTATAAAAGAAATCTTATTAAAGAATACGATAAAAAAAAATAAAAGTTCTTTAAGATAAGAATTTCATTAAATGAAAAAATTTTTATCATAATAAGAAATTAAAAGTTATCCATAAGTAGAACCCATCGGGATTGGTCTCACACCAATAAGTTTACAATATATGCGTTATTTATCATGAATTCTTACCGAATAAATTTTGCTGATTTTTCAATAATATTATTTTCTGATTGTTTATTAGAAATATTCACCAATCGATTTCGAACTTTATCACGCCATAATTGTCGTTCTTCAATTGGTGATTGTTCATATTCATTTTTCATATTAAATAAAGCACTAATCATTCGTACATTAATAAAAAAAAAAAAACTAGAACTTCGAAAAGAAGCAAATAATATCTTACTAAATTTGACCTTCAGTTTCTGTTGATAACATTTTTTCATAAAATTGATCTTCATTATCAAGAACACCATACATTCGTTGAAGAACATATTTTATATTGGGAAGCATATTATCATATTCAAGACTCTAGAAGAAATATTTATCAAATAAAGAAAACAAGATAAGAAATAAGATAATACGATTTGAAGAAAACGTTTTGCAACATCTTGAAGTGGTAATAGACCATTCGATCGAAATATACTTGGATTCCACATAGCAGCTTGACATAACATAACACCATGAGCTGGACCACACCGAGATCGAAATTTTTCAATATCTGAATATGATGACATGTTTGTTGATCCTCCACTGAACAAAAAAAAAATTATTTTAGCAGTCGCAACAGAATAAATAAAACTCAAAATATTTTTCAACAATTACTGTGAGATATAGAAGCTTACGTTAACCAGATTTTCTTTTGTAACTTTTCTCGAGGGATATGCAGTGTTGGTATAAATACTGAACAGTAAGTTACCGATATCGAGTCCACTGGAGCTCTGTTCCAATGAACATTGGTGATAGTGTGGACTAAATGACTGTTCCTGAGGGCGAACCACAGCATTGACTTTAAAAAGTATCGTAATGATGCACATATTCCAGACACAAAATCGATTAATCACTTGAGGCATTTCACTCATCAGGTCTCCTGTGGCGTCACCACTGGAGAGCTGCCAGTCCGAGTTCGATCTTTTATTTTTTGTCGGGCCTGATTACACGTTTATATGGACCCCTGCTCCTCGGATGAGCAATACAGCAACAAGATATAATTGTACGTTAAGGTTCTTTTCTGAGAATAGCGAATAAATAGCTAAAACCTTGATCTTTTACTTCTTCATGTACACGAAGGGTACCAGGTATTAATAGAAAAAACCTCGGATTTGGACTCGGATCCAAGTCTATAAAAACGTGAGCTCGCAACTTCCTAGTCGCTACTAATTTAGTTTTAATTCCATTAAAGTTTTGACTTCTATCTTTTCAACTAATGGTTTCGTAGATAATCTTATGCAACATCGTTTGGAGAAAAAAAAAACTTGCAGTTCGAAACGATAAGACTACGGCAGAGATATTGCTAGGATCACTTATTCTAATTGCATCGATTAAATCTTACTTTGCAATAATAACAACATTTGATGGACATTGTTGAACAATTGTTTGAATAAATGTTTCTCGACATTGATCATTATTACGTTCATCTCGTGTACGACCATGTATAGTTATTGAATGTACACCCGTTGTTGCAATTATACGTATAAGTGACAATGTCGCTTCTATCTATGAATATATGATTTTGGATTAAAATAAATATTATTTTATTTACCTATAGTTGGTAAACAACGAATTTTACATGAAACAGGTATTGATAAATTGTTAACTAAAGTTTCGAGTATCTAAAAAAAAAATTTATAAATTAATTTCTTAGAAGAAAAGAAAATAGTCATTTTTTGCTTGTACTTGTTTGACTTTATCTGGATGATCAAGTAATGCTGAACCCATTCCACCTTGAATAGAAAATTTTTTTGGACAACCCATATTTATATCAATTCCTGCAACATCATTTTCTACAAGTCGAGCAGCATTTAAAGCTCGTTGACCATCGGCTGTACCCAATTGAACAATAAGACGATCTTTTTCTCGATTTTTATGTATTTGTAACATCGGCCGATCTTCACCTGGTACTACAAAATCAATGGTATTTAATAAATCTAAATTACAAAAAAAAAAAAAAATATGAAAATGAATAAAAAACAAAAATAATAATAGCTAAATACCATTTTCGATTCGAACACATTGTATAAGACGATAATCAATTAATTCCTCAGAAAAAACAATATCAGCACCATATTCAAGTGCTAAAAGTCGGAATGGAAGACTGGATATTCTTACCATAGGGCCACATAATATTCGGTTCGAATAGTCCATATCTACATAAATGAAATTCTTTATTATTTTTTTACAATTAATTTATTTGACAAAAAAAAAACATTACAAAATATTGAAACATAAAAATTGAAGATGACGACATATTAAGCAATTAATCAATATTGGTTTGAAAGCAGTCACCGATAGGATTATTAACGAAAGAGGGTGCTCTTTGACGGAAAAGAAATATCTATATTTTTTAGATAAAGTCAGTTTTGGCGAGGAAACTTAGAAGCAGGAATTCAGTGATTAGGTTTCCACGTCCAGAGATACGTCGTCGTCTGCGTGATGACCATAGAGGTATCATTATGCGTACAAAGTATGACGACGCTTGTTCTACGGTGATGCACGCCTGTCGAATGTGACATGAGGAATTCTGTAGTGCGGCACGTATCAAATATTCATGTGCTTTGTAATAAGTATTACTATTAATCGATTTTCATCCTAGATCTACGGGCGTTACTTCATCTGATTTTATAATGAACTGTAGAAAAAATAATTAATTATTTTTACAAGTTTATTTTCATTTGGAAATTAACAGAAAATAGTTTCGACCGAGAAAAATAAACCCATCAATATCTATAAGGTTTACGATTCAGCTTGTTGTCGAGGAAATATATGACTAGGATCCATCACCTTTGATTACAAGATTTTGAGTTCATATTCTGCAATTAACTAGAAAACCACTACACTAGCACAACATACAATAAGTTCTTTTTTCATTGAATTTCCATCAACGTATTAAATTTTCAAGACATAATACTGTTTCGTATTTTTAGTCTAAAAGTGCTTTTTTTTCAACAGGATCCTGTATCATGTCAACTTGACATCTCGATGAAAACTCAAGAAGGAAAAAAGAACTCATTAGAGATTGTGCTAGTGTAACGGTCTCCTAGTTATTTGCATAATATGAGCTCAAAATGTTATATTCAGGTGATGCATTTTATTATCGGAATTTTCAAAGAAGGCAGCTGAAAATAAAAGCTTATAACTTTTGAACAAAAAGTCGTAGCAACCTGCGGTTTTTTATCATTCAATAGACGACAGCATTGGGCACAGCTCTATGTGTGTGAAGGGAAGTGTTTTCACAAAGTACTTTTCCAGACTAATTTTAGTAGGATGTGGGTGTGGGAGTCATTTCTTGAGCCATAACAACACCCTGCTTGACGCTATCGTCTATTGAATGGTGAAAACCTCAGGTCGTTCCGACTTTTCATTCAAAAGTTATACGCTTTTTTTTCTAGCTACCTTCTTTAAAAATTCCGATAATAGCTACATATTTCCTGGACAACAGGCTGAATCTTAAATATTATAGATATTAATAGGTCAATTTTATCGGCTGAAGCTGTTTTTTTTGTTCATTTTCTGCTTGATTCGCTTGAAAAAATGCGAGAAAAAATTTTTCTCAAGAAATGTAACAGGTTTTCCATGTGTTCACACTCGACTATTTTTTAACAAAATAGCATCAGTTTACTGAGAGAGAAAGAGATCGAAGGTATTTAACACATGCAACCCGATTCAATTTTATTACAGATAGCTCTAGCAGATTCATTTTTATGTGCACTCGTTGTTCTTTTCATTCTATGCTGGTTCGTTGCTTTCTCTTTTCTGATTGATATATCACATGAACAGTTATATCTATGCATTACATACTGGTTTTTACCAACATGACGTATTTGATTTTTCTCAGTATGTTATCACATGTTCTATATTGGACTTTTCCTATTAATATACTCGTTTACATCATACTTGGTATTGTCCAACATGCTTATATATGTATGTGTCGGTGCTTCTCTTCTTGCAGTCATTCGCTACTACATTCACTAGTTTACTAGCTCTCTTACTAATTCTATTCTTCTATTTCCTTTTTTTGTATTGTAAAACCTTCTTTATGACATTGAGATACGTATATCTTGATTGTTTCAACGAGAAGCATTATACTATAGAATAAAAGACTAAAAAAACATTGAAGGCAGAGCACGCGACACATTATGTGTAACCTTCTGTCTAAGGAAAAGGCAAAACGAAGTGGTTTTCTATACTGTTTCTTCTTAAAATATAGTGTGATCTAACGGTGGGTCACATCGGGCTGAATGTGTTAACCATTTCCTTTAAAAATTATCACACTTTTTTTTTCTTTAAACAGATCTCAATTCATATGAGTAGTGTGAAATTAGAATCACGTTAATTAAATATAATATATGAATTGAAAACATTTAGAAATGATATATATATATATATATATATATATAACTTAATTATGGAGAAAATATATGTTGTTATTCGTCCTCGAATTTAAAAAAAAAGAATTAGCATAAACATTTCATCTCTATTGAAGATTAGAAAATGTGAAAGATTTGGTATTTATGTGTGATTGCAGAGAGAGAGAGAGAGAGAGAGAGAGAGAGAGAGAGAGAGAGAGAGA